TTCACTATGTCTGGTCTCCCACAGTACACAGAATGTGAAAATGCAATTATTTTAGCAAATATAAACTGCTAAATACCTTTTCTTTTCAGCAGTACATAGTAGTGTTGAGACTTCTATCAGGTTCCGGCAAGCACTGGTTTAATCCTGTATTAATAGTTTTCATTCTCCTCTGACTGTCCTGTGAGGCTGCATTGACTCTTGATCCTCTGTCCAGACAGCGCTAATTGGCCCTGTGCAGATCACATGCACCCTCCAAAACAAAAACTCTAGCAATACACACCACACAGAACAAGTGCAGACTTGCCACTGCTGCTCTGTATTATGGCAGATGGATTGGGGGCAGTAGAAGAAGGGGAGGATCAGAAAAGACAGGATCAAACAGTCTTTTTTACCCAATGCGAAGAATTAACCCCTTATGTTCCACAGTAGTATAGCAAGCGTGCTTTAGTGTATACTGTATATATAGACTGATTTTACGGTTGTGCATTTAGTAACACTTTAATTTCCAAAGTGGTGAACAATATAAAAGTAAAAGAAATGTTGCTTTTTTACTGTGGAATGTTAGCTAGCATCTATACTTGATTGAGAAACATAACTTCATGGGTTGGTCTGTTAGGTTACCCTCCTTACCCTACAAATAGTAAAGACCCCAGAATACTAGTAGTAAGAATAGGCATGATGAATTTCTGCTTTCATGAACATGTAAAATGTAGTGAATAATTTCTCAGTTTTAATTATTGAATGCCAGGGCTCAGGTGTTCCTACTCCAATATATAATTGGTGGGAGTATCCAGGCAACTGTGAAAGAGAGACAGCTTATGTATTGTTAGCCATAAAGTGAATGAGAATTAAAACGGATACACATAATTTGATTGTTTTAACTTTGTTTGCAGGAAGGGGATCTCAGCTCTTAAAATGTCTAAACAGCCTGCATCAAATGTCAGATCTCTACAGGTACGTTTTAATTAAATGGGATCAAACTTATAACAAAATATTTTCACTGCCTGGCTTCACCATTGGTCATATACTGTGTGTGTATATATACACAGTAGGGAAAATAGTTATGTAAACCCCTGCAGATTTTGTACGATTACCCACTTACAAAGATATGAAGGGTCTATAAGTTTTATCATAGGTGTATTTTAAATGCTAGAGACAGAATATCAACCAAAAATCCAGAAAAAACACACAATACAAATGTTATAAAATTGAGTTGCAGTTCAGTGAGTTAAAATAAGTATTTGATCCCCAAGCAAAACATGACTTAGTTCTTGGTGGAGAAACCCTTGTTGGCAAGCACAGAGGTAAGACGTTTCTTGTTCCTGATTACCAGGTTTGCACACATCTCAGGAGGGATTTTGGTCCACTCTTCTTTACAGATCTTCTCTAAATTCTTAAGGTTCTTGGCTGTTGCTTGGCAATAAATTTTCTATAGGATTAAGGTCTGTAGACTGGCTTAGGGTTGCTACCTCATCCCTTTAAAACCAAAACATGTATTAAATACACAGGTTCTGGGGCTAATTTATTGCACATAAGGCACTCAATGAGTTTAATTATCTCCTTAATCAGCCATAGAACCTGTGTAGTTAATATGTGTTCCGTTTTAAAGGTATGAGGTGGCAACCCTAGACTGGCTAGGCCACTCCATGACCTTAATTTTGCTCCTTCTTGAGCCACTCCTTTGTTGTCTTGACCTCAGAACCTGTGTATTTAATACGTGTTTGGTTTTTAAAGTGATGAGATAGCAACCCTAAGCCAGTTTCCAGACCTTAATCCTATAGAAAATTTATTGCCAAGCAACAGCCAAGAAACCTTAAGGATTTAGAGAAGATCTGTAAAGAAGAGTGGACCAAAATCCCTTCTCAGATGTGTGCAAACCTGGTAATCAGGAACAAGAAACGTCTTACCTCTGTGCTTGGCAACAAGGGTTTCTCCACCAAGTACTAAGTCATGTTTTGCTTGGGGATCAAATACTTATGTTTTGGGTCATTGTCATGCTGGAAGACCCATCCATGGCCCTTCTTTAGTGTTCTAACTGAGGGAAAAAGTTTCCCATCAAAAGATTTTACAATACATGGCCCTGTCCAGTAGCCCTTCAATGCAGCAAAGTCAGCCTGTACCTTTAGCAGAGAAATAGCCCCCAAACATAATGTTTCCACCTCTGTGCTTGACTGTAGGGATGGTGTTCTTATGGTCATAGTCAGCATTTTTCTTCCTCCAAACACAGAGAGTTGAGTTAATGTGAAAGAGCTCAATTTGGGACTCATCTGACTATAGCACTTTCTCTGAATCATTTAGATGTTCATTGGCAAACTTCAGATGGGCCTACACATGTGCCTTCTTGAGGAGGGGGACCTTGCGTGCACTGTAGGATTTCAATCCATGGCTGTGTATTGTGTTACCAGTGGTTTATTTGGAAACTGTGGTGCCCAACTGCCTTGATATCATTCACAAGCTCCACATGTGAAGTTCTGGGATGATTCCTCACTATTCTCATGATCACCCTTACCCCATGAGGCGAAATCCTGCATGGTGCTCCAGACCGAGGGCATTTGATGGTTTTTTTTTTGTATTTCTTCCATTTGCGAATAATCTCTCTCTCAAACAGTTGTCTCCTTCTCACCAAGCTTCTTGCTGATGGTCTTATAGCCCATTCCAACCTTGTGCAGGTCTACAATATTGTCCCTGACGTCCTTTGACAGCTCTTTGATCTTGCCCATGATGGTGAGGAAGAATGAGATTCTGTGGACAGGTGTCTTTTATACACTTTAATGAGTTGTCATTAGGATGTACCTTCTTAAATTGACAGGACTAATCTGTGTATCACATGAGCACATAGCCAGTCTGTGGGAGCCAGAATTATGGTTAGTTGGGTAGGGGATCAAATACTTATTTTACTCACTGACCGGCAAATCAATTTATAACATTTGTATTATGTGGTTTTTTCTGGATTTTTGGTTGATATCTGTCTCTAGCATTTAAAATACACCTATGATAAAAATGATAGACCCTTAATTTCTTTGTAAGTGGGCAAACTTACAAAATCTGTAGGGGATCAAATAATTATTTTCCCCACTGTGTGTGCGTGTGTATGTATGTATGTATATATATATATATATACTGTGTGTGTGTGTGTATCATTCACCAGCCCATTTTATTAGGCACACCTGTTCAATTGCTTGGTAACACAAATTGCTAATCAGCCAATTGCATGGAAGCAACTTAATGTATTTAGGTATCTAGACGTGGTGCAGATAACTTTCTGAAGTTCAAACTGAGCATTACAATGGGAAAGAAAGGGGATTTAAGTGACTTTGAAAACATTGCATTGTTGGTGCCAGACGGGCTGGTCTGCTTATCTATTGGGATATATATATAAAACTGCTTATCTATTGGGATTTTCACGCAAACCATTTCTAGGGTTTACAGAGAATGGTGTGAAAAAGAGAAAATATCCAGTGAGCGGCAATGTGTGTGGATGAAAATGCCTTGTTGAGGTCAGAGGAAAATGAGCAAACTGGTTTGAGATGATAGAAAGGCAACATTAACTCGAATGACCACTTGTTACAACCTAGATAAGCAGAATACTATCTCTGAATGCACAACACATTGAACTTGAAGCAGATGGGCTACAGCAGCAGAAGACCACACCGGGTGCCACTCCTGTCAGCTAAGAACAAGAAACAGAGGCTACAGTTCGCACAGGCTCACCAAAATTGGACAATAGCAGATTGGAAAAATGTTGGCTGGTCTGATGAGTTTCAATTTCAGCTGCCACATTCAGATGGTAGGGTCAGCATTTGGCATAAACAACATAAAAGCATGGATCCATCCTGCCTTGTATCAACGGTTCAGGCTGGTGGTGGTGGTGTGTAATGAGGGATATTTTCTTGCCACACTTTGGGCCCTTAGTACCAATTGAGCATATTTAAATGCCCCAGCCTACCTGTGTATTGTGGCTGACGATGTCCATCCCTTTATGACTACAGTATACCCATCTTCTGATGGCTACTTCCAGCAGAATGATGCACCATGTCACAAAGCTCAAATCATCTCAAACTGGTTCCTTGAACATGACAGTGAGTTCACTGATCTCCAATGGCCTCCACAGTCACCAGATCTCAATCCAATAGAGCACCTTTGGGATGTGGCGGAATTGGAGCTTCGCATCATATATGTGCAGCCGACAAATCTGCAGCAACTGCGTGATGCTATCATGTCAATATTTCCAAAATCTCTGAGGAATGTTTCCAACACCTTGTTGAATCTATGCCATAAAGAAGGCAGTTTCTGCAGGCAAAAGGAGGTCCAATCCGGTACTAGCAAGGTGTACCTAATAAAGTGGCCAGTGAGTGTGTGTAGTAATTTAATATACTGTGAATGTTTACTGTGCACAAGTTATAGTGTACACGTATAATCTATATCATAGACTGCACATGGGCAGTGAAATTTAATCACAGTATGTGCTTTGCTGTGTTTTATTTATTTTACACTTTTGCCATTTAGTAGGGAATATTACATGCTAAAAGTGATTAATAACTCATTTTTGTTAGTCTGGGTTCATACTATAGCTACATGTGAATTGCACAAGAACCGTACCGCATTCCTAAGTGGTTCACATGCGATTCAGTGCGGTGCAATATGAGCCCATTCAGAATGAATGGTCTCAAATCGCATCACGCAGCACCAAAAACGCGCTGGCACCTTTCTTTGAGCTACACTGCAACCGGATTGCATGATCATTTTGAACTCAACTGCATTTCTGACCTATATTTGGGGTGTCATTAACTTTGTATTGACACCAGGGGCGGACTGACCATTCGAGCACTACCCGAGGGCCCGGGGTCAGTAGGGGGCCCCATGAAATGCCCCTGGTACCTTTTTTATAGGCTTTTTTGGGTGTGTTTTGAGTGTGGGCAAGGACACAGGGGCCACATGATCCCCTATTGCCTGGGGGCCCCATGAGTTGTCAGTCCGCCCCTGATTGACACCCACAGCAGATTGCAGCTTCCCGCACCTCACATATGTGAACCTAGGCTTAGTGTTGATCTTTGTTTAAAGAGCTTCTGTAAATCAAAATAAGAAAAAACATGTGGAGGAATCTATAGCATCTGATCAGAAGTCATCTGTCACTATACTCGCACAGAGCAGCCTCGATCCTCCCTCTTCTCGGGTCTCCCTCTAGTACTCCTGGCTCCTTCCCCCATGCTGAGTGTCACTTGCTCTGGGGCACTCGTGCATGCTTGCTCCTGAGCCGCCTCTGTGTGTCCATAAGACACAGAGCAGGGCTTGGCCCGTCTCCTGCTCCCTCCCTGGCTGTGATTGACAGCAGCAGGAGCCAAAACCTTCAGCCTTTACAACTCCTCCTTTAAATTAATTCTGATTGGCTGCTACAGGTTGCTGCACGCATTGCTGTTTGCTCTTTTTTTAAAGTGGAACTTTGCCCCTCTCTTCTGCCATATTTTGCACATTATTTTTTAGGGGGCGTGCGTACCTAGTTTTCAGAGGTACCCCCTCCCCATTTCACTGGAATCACCCAGGTGATTTCGCCAAATGTTCTGTCCAATACCCCCCCCGCAAACTATTGGGGACACGTCACAGAAGGCTGTGGGACCACTCACAAGGCACAGAGCAGCTTGTACATGCACAGTGGGGAGCTGGCTGTGAAGCCGCAAGGAGTCACAGCCGCCATCCCACAGTTAAAATGGTGGCACTGGGCACCCGAAAACTGGTGAAGAACTGGCTCAGGCGGGGATGGCACTGAATTCCTGGACAGGTAAATGTCTGTTTAAAAGTCAGCAGCTACAGTACTAGAGCTTGTCCCTATTGTTAAAACTCTTTACCCAAGCTGAAAAATTTCACTATAAATATAAATACAATTCAGATGCAATATTAATATGCAGCTGGATTGTCATTGTACAGCATAACTGTTTTTTAACATTGCAGCTAAAAAGAAAACTAATCTATGTGCTACTGTGCTAAATAAGCATTCAACTCATCCCCGTCCCTGGAAGCTTCCTTGATAATAAGCTAAGAAGTGACAACATATCCTAAAATAGCCCCCTTTGCTAATAGTTTTCCATATTTGCTTTTGCTGCTTCTATTTTGTATTTGAATTGGGACCCACAGCGCTCATAACAGAAAGATTATCCTTGCTAATTGTAGCACAGTTGCCAGTCATTTTTATTTCCCTCAGGAAAGCAGCACACAAGATGAAAAAAAAAAACCTGCAGAAGTTATCTTAAGCCAGTCTTAATTGTCTGTCTTTGCTGCTTTTTATAATAGATTTAAAGTGCATCTGCCTTCTGGGAAGGGGAGATGTGCTGCTTGTTTTTACAATAAATCATAGATAAAGGGAACTTCAGACTCACAATGGAAAATTAACATTTTCCTATATTATTTGGGTAACCCCTCCAAGCCCAGTAACTGCATAAACATGCATAAGTTGAGATGTACAATATATATATATACTCTATATTTCCAAAAGTATTGGGATGTCTGCCTTTACACACACATGAACTTTAATGGCTTCCCAGTCTTAGTTTGTAGGGTTCAATACTGAATTAACCCACTCTTTACAGCTATAACAGCTTCAGCTCTTCTGGGAAGGCTGTCCACAAGGTTTAGTGGAGTGTCTATGGGAATGTTTGACCATTCTTCCAGAAGCACATTTGTGAGGTCAGACACTGATGTCAGAGGAGAAGGCCTGGTTCACAGTCTTCACTAATTCAAGGTGTCATATTGGGTTGAGGCAGGCCAGTCAAGTTCCTCCTCCGCAAGCTCACTCATCCATGTCTTTATGGACCTTGCTTTGTGCAATGGTGTGCAGTCATGTTGGAACAGGAGGGGGCCATCCCCAAACTGTTCCTACAAAGTTGGGAGCATGAAATTGTCCAAAATGTCCTGGGTATTCCCTTCACTGGAACTAAGGGGCCAAGCCCAACCCATGAAAAACAACCCCACATCATAATCCACCCTCCACCAAACTTTACACTTGGCACAATGCAGTCAGGCAAGTAACATTCTCCTGACAACCGCCAAACCCAGACACATCCATCAGATTGCCAGATAGCGAAGCACGATTCATCACTCCAGATAAACACATCTCCACTGCTCTAGAGTCCAGTGGCAGAATGCTTTACACCTCTGTATCTGACGCTTTGCATTGCGCTTGGTGATGTAAGGCTTGGATGCAGCTGCTAGGCCATGGAAACCCATTCCAAGAAGCTCTCTATGCACTGTTATTGTGCTAATATGAAGGCCACACGAACTTTGGAGGTCCTTAGCTATTGAATCTTCAGACAGTTGGCTACTTCTGTGCACTTCAGCATGCGCTGACCCCGCTCTGTCATTTTACATGGCCTACCGTGGCTGTGATGAAGATGAAACGAGGGTGGACATTTCAGCAAGACAATGATCCCAAACACAAAGCCAAGGAAACTCTCAATTTGTTTCAAAGAGGAAAAAAAAAGCTGCTAGAATGGCCCAGCCAATCATCTGACTTGAATCCAATAGACAATCTATGGAAAGAACTAAAGATCAGATTCATAGAAGAGGCACATGGAAGCTTCAAGATTTGAAGACTGTTTGCATGGAAGAATAGGCCAAAATCACACCTGAGCAATGCATGCGACTAGTTTCTTCATACAGGAGGCATCTATAAGCTGTCATTACCAACAAGGATTTTGTACAAACTATTAAATAAATTGCAGTTAGCGTGCTCAATACTTCTTCCCTGTGTCATTCCATTTTATTACACATAACTTAATTTATGAACTTATTTGTTTTGGTTTCTTTGTATGTATGGATTGCATGGGTTGTTAGCGACATGCGGTGAAAATTTAATGTCAACGGCACCTTTAGAAATATATTTACTGAGAAAAATGGTGATGTGTTCAATGTTTATTTTACCCACTGTATATACACTACATTGCCAAAAGTATTGGGATGCCTGCCTTTACACACACATGAACTTTAATGGCATCTCAGCTTCAACTCTTCGGGGAAGGCTGTCCACAAGGTTTAGGAGTGTGTCTATGGGAATGTTTGACCATTCTTCCAAAAGCACATTTGTGAGGTCAGGCACTGACGTCAGACGAGAAGGGCTGGCTCGCATTCTCCGTTCTAATTCATCACAAAGGTGTTCTATCAGGTTCAGGTTAGGACTTTGTGCAGGTGAGTCAAGTTCCTCCACCTCGCTCATCCATGTCTTTATGGACCTTGCTTTGTGCACTGGTGCGCAGTCATGTTGGAACAGGAAGGAGCCATTCCCAAATGGTTTTCACAAAGTTGGGAGCATGAAATTGTCCAAAATGTCTTGGTATGCTGACGCCTTAAGAGTTCCCTTCACTGGAACTAAGGGGCCAAGCCAAACCCCTAAAAAACAACCCCACACCATAATCCCCCCTCCACCAAACTTTACACTTGGCACAATGCAGTCAGGCAAGTACCGTTCTCCTGGCAACCACCAAACCCAGACATGTCCCTTGGATTGCCAGACAGAAAAGCATGATTCATCAGTCCAGAGAACACGTCTCCACTGTACTAGAATCCAGTGGTGGCACGCTTTACACCACTGCATCCGATGCTTAGCATTGCACTTGGTGATGTAAGGCTTGGATACCGCTGCTCGGCCATGGAAACCCATTCCATGAAGCTCTCTATGCAATGCTGTTGTGCTAATCTGAAGCTATTGACTCTGCAGACAGTTGGGGACTTCTGTGCATGCGCTGACCCCACCCTGTTATTTTACATGGCCTACCACTTCGTGTCTGAGTTTCTCTATGCACTGTTGCTGTGCTAATCTGAAGGCCACACGAAGTTTGGAGGTCTTTAGCTATTGAATCTGCAGACAGTTGGCAACTTCTGTGCACTGCGTGCTTCAGCATGTGCTGACCCTGCTGTCATTTTATGTGGCCTTACCACTTCGTGGCTGAGTTTCTGTTGTTCCCAGTTGCTTCCACTTTGTTTGCATACCACTAACAGTTCACCGTGGAGTATTTAGTAGCAAGGAAATTCCATGGTTGCACAGGTGGCAACCTATTACGGTACCCCGCTGGAATTCACTGAGCTCCTGAGAGCGACCAATTCTTTCACAAATGTTTGTAGACGCAGTCTGCATGCCTAGGTGCTTGATTTTAGCCATGGAGGTGATTGGAAATGAATCCAATGATTTGGAGAGGTGTCCCAATACTTTTGAAATATAGTGTATATATATATATAGATGCAATATAGAAATATGGAACTTGGGCACAAGGAATACTGTTAAGAAAAGGTTATAAATATTTCAATGTTTGAGTGCACATGCACTACGTTTATCCATTGGATGAAGTAGGAAGGATGTTAAAAGTGAATCTGTAACCAGGTCATGGGCAGGGCCATAAAGATCATGAAGTCAGTTGAGCCGACAATCATGAAAGCACAGCAGGGAGCAGCCCTGAGTCTTAGAGTCTCCATACTGGTAAAAACATAGATTCAGCATTCACCTTGGGTATGTGCTTTCATATTAATTTATTTTCAGTATTCTTAAAGGCTGACTTAACTTTTGTGGGAAAAAAAAATAGCAAATAAAAAAATATTAGAATATAAAATAGTTACACAAGTCATATTGTAATTTTTTTTTTAAATTACCTTTCCTTTTCAATCTGCAACATTTTCATTTTCTTTAAAATGCAGTTAAATATGGCAACAGATTGTGTATAGAATGCCCTCTACAATTGTAATTTTCTGCTTGTGTATTTGGCTCAATGATTTTCCCAATGTCGGGAGTAAGACACAAGTCAGATTTTTGGCATCCCCTGCAACATAATGCCATTTTTGGTGAGATACTCCCAAAAGGAAATCATGTCTAAAGCAGGGGCAGACTGACCATTTGGGAACTTGCCCGGGGGCCCCATGAGTTGTCAGTCTGCCCCTGGTCTAAAGGGCTGCAGACCCTGCCACTTTCGTCATTAGAGCCCTGAAGGTGCAGCAGCTGATTGATATTGATAATTATGAAACCACTCCCATACAGATTCACTCAGACACATGGACACAGACAAACAGCCATTTCTTCAGAATAACAAAAGGTAGGACTCTACATC